TAGACACATTTTCGGATCTAATTTTTGTATATAGTTTTGTGGAATATGCAATTGAAACTTTAGTTATTACACGTTCGGGTAACGTTTTTACAAGTTATGTAAAATTTAAATCAAACTATAAAATGAAATTTCACTATTAATAAATCATATAATTAAAGCACTTAAAAAGCGAACAGAGCGTAACGTAACCACTTCACATTAAATCTTGCAACCTGTTAATGTATTTGAGAACAACTTACAACTGTTACAAATATGATCGAATTGGACCCATGGGATGTCCGATACATCAATATCCAAAGTGCCGACTGTCGGCCTTTTTTTTTAAGTAAACAAAAAACTTATGGAGTCGCTTTTTCCGGATTTTTACCGCTGTGGTTCGCATTTTCTAACGTGAAAAAAAACAGTGGATCACGTATCTGGCAGAAAATAAACGTTACCATTTATGTTAATATGCCTTAAAAAATACCTGAAGTCAAGAAACCCAGAATTTCTCTCAAAGTAAAAAACGACGCTTGTGAAAAGAACTGCAAAAAATAAACATACATAGGAGGAACCTGAGGCTTAGAAAGTTGGAAAATAATACAGCCTCAGAAACAACAAAAACAGAAATCAGATCAGGAGGTATGGTCTCAAAAGAATGGGAACAATATTTTCAATATCCATTCAACAAAAATAGACAGAAACTCAAAAATATAATCGAATCGAACAACGTAGACAATATTAACTTCACCGGTTTACCACTGAGAATAACAATAGGATTGGAAGGAACGTGTGCAAAGAAAAAGAAAAAAAGAAAAACGTGGAGTTGAAAAATGTCGTTGGGACTGGGAAATATTCCGGGCGAGCTCCTCAAATATGGCACAGAGATATTATACAGAAATCCGATAATACTGATCCAAAAATGTATAGACATAAGTCCAAAAGAATGGAACATGTGACAGGTTAGTCCAATATACAAAAAAGAAGATAAGGTTAGGTGCCAGAACTATCGAGGCATAGCGGCCAGAAGCCTATGTGCAGAATGTACAGGAAAATTGTAAAAAATAGAACAGAAAATTAATACAAGGAAATAGGAGCAGAAGAACAAGCTGGGTTTCGTTGATCAGTCGTGAACCATATATTCACTCTAGCGCAAGTTATAAAGAAAAAGATGGCACGCAACCAACAAATGCTTCTCTTATTTGTGAAGCTGTAAAAAGTTCAGGTTCAAATTGTTTCATTAAGCAAACTATGGGAAATATTAGAAAAAGCGAACATAAATGCAGGGCTAATTAAAGCCATCAAGAGTCTCGATAATAAATCTGTAATGAAGATAAAGACAAGAAAACAAATATCGCCCGGATTCATAGGATCAAAAGGATTGAAGCAGGAATGCTGTACCTCGCCGAGCTTATTCAAAATATACCTGAAGCGAATCTTGAATAACAGCGAACAAGCTCGATTCCGGGCGGGTAGATCAGTCATGGACCATATATTCACTCTAACGCAAGTTGTAGATAAAAAGATGGCACACAACCAACAAATCCATCTCTTTTTTGTGAACTCTCTGAAGTATTAGAGAAAACGAACATAAATATAGAGCTAATTAAAGTCATCATGATTCTCTATAAACAACCTGAAGTTTTCATGAAGATCAAATAAAGAAAACAAATAACACCCGACTTCATAGTGTCAGAAGGATTGAAAGAAAGATGCTGTTCCTTACCGACCCAAAATAGTCCTGGAGGGAATCTTGAAGAAATGGAAAAAGAAGTGCAATACTATAGGCATACCACTCTCAGACAATAGATTATCATTCGCCGATGATCCAGTGCTAATCGCGTAAGACCTTGAGGATTTGCGATATAGGTATTACACGAAAACTATTTGAGGCATATCAACATGGTGGTCTGCAAGTAAACACACAAAAGACAGCATACATGGTGATAAACGGAGAGTAAAAGGCTCTTGATCTGAAAGGCGGAGATTCTATCAAACAAACAAAAGAATATCGATACATGGGAGTTAAAATTACCGACGACGGACTTCTCGATACCGAAATCAAACACCGAATATGCCAAGGCAGAAAGGCGATCGCTCTTTCAATTGCACTACTTTGGGACGAACCTCACCAAAGCTCATTTATAATGAGATTGTTAAAAATGAGAATCACCTACTGATTTGAGGTGGGGCCATTGAAAGAAGTGATTAATAAACGCCTAAAAGCAATATAAGTAACTAATAACAACTACGACAGCTTTCCAAGCAAACATCCTAGCAATAACAAATTGCGCCCGGAAAATGAAGGAAAGAGCCTACACACGTAAGCACATTACCAT